TGGAAGAAATTGAGGAAGAAACTAATAATGAGTCAGATGAATTCGAGAATCAAAATTATACTTCTGATGAATCAGATATAGAATAGAAAATATTTATTATAATTTATTTTTTATTGATATTATTTTTGTATTTATGCTGTTTTTTAATAAAATTTTCAAACGTAATACAGGATTTTTAGTCTATCTTTTTTTTATCCATGAATTTGAATTTTCGGCTGTCCACTTTGTTTCTCATAATTTTTTCCAGAAAGAGAAAAAAAAAATTCAAAGTATTGATATTTGTATTATTTACGTCATTATATTTTGAGTTACAAAAACTTGTATAAATATATAATGATACTATACATATAGTATATGATATACTTATGGTCCAAACCCTCCTAAATGATAAACGCAACATTGTCCCGGCCCCCAGTTCCCGGTAGCCCTGCTATTCCAGGCCAAGGCGGCGGTCTCGGTTACGGCAGGGCAGGGGGTGCTAAGAATCTCCGGGTTACGGTAGGCCGCCAAAAAACACTTAACTTGGCGACATATAACGGTCGCACGTTACGGCTCGACTCACATCTAGCTCAACTGGAGGAGGAGCTGAATCACATTAGATGGCACGTGCTCGGGCTGAGCGAAGTCCGCAGAGAGGGCGAGGACACGCTGACCTTAGAGTCTGGCCATCTGATGTACTTCAGAGAGGGAGATAATCCGTCACAGGGCGGCGTCGGGTTCCTGGTCAACAAAGTCCTCACTGACAACGTGATTGAAGTCTCCAGTGTGTCGACGAGGGTTGCGTACCTCATTATAAGACTAACCAAAAGGTATAGCCTAAAGGTTATACAAGTGTACGCTCCAACGTCGACATACTCGGATGATGTCGTGGAAGAGATGTACGAGAACATCTCTCGAGCTTTACACACCACCACCAAGGCTCACTTTAACGTTGTCATGGGGGACTTCAACGCTAAAATGGGAGTACAGACTTGCAGCGAATCGATGTTAGGATCATACGGCTATGGGAGTAGGAATCATAGGGGGCAAATGCTCGTCAATTTCTTGGAACGCGAGGGGCTTTTCTTAATGAATCCATTCTTTAAGAAACAGCCCCAGACGAAGTGGACGTGGCGAAGCCCCGATGCTATGACCAAGAATGAGATTGACTTCATCATATCGGACAAGAAGCGCATATTCAGAGATGTCTCAGTGATCAATAGGTTTAAAACCGGAAGTGATCACCGACTTCTAAGAGGCACTCTGATTATCGATTTTAAGCTCGAACGCTCTCGATTGATGAAGTCAACGCTCCGGCCAAAGCTGCTCCAATCGGCCGTTGGTTCTGACGCATTCCAAATGAAACTGGAAAATCGATTCGCTGCCTTAGAAACCACAATTGACGTTGGCATCGACGAGGAACTCGACCAAGTGGTAGAAATCCTTCGGGACGAGGGTGCGAAATTCTGTGAGCTGCGACGTAAGGGCAAACGGTCTAAGCTTTCGAAGGAGACTCTGGATCTAATGGACAAGCGGCGAAACGATCCACTAGTCACTTCGTCAGAACAACGGGCTCTGAATAAGTCCATCTCCAAGCTGATAAGACGTGACCTCCGACGCTCCAATTCACTCTTAATACAGAGAACAATTGAGCAGAACCGGGGGTCCAAAGTCTTCGTACAACTGCTTGGAAGGAACCACCTGACGAAGTTGACCAAAACAAATGGAGAAGTCGTCACGTCGAAACCAGAGATTCTTTCGGAAGTTTATACCTACTATAGCCAGCTATACGCGTCGCACTCGGCCCACCCTACGCCGGATAAGAGCGATTCAAGAGCCACATTAACCCGCCATGTGACGGAGGATCTCCCCGACATCGGCCTAGAGGAGATCGAGGCGGCTCTTGGGCAACTCAAAAATGGAAAAGCCCCGGGGGAAGACGGAGTCACAACCGAGCTTCTGAAAGCTGCCGGCAAGCCGGTGCTGAAGGAGCTCCGCCGTATATTTAACTCTGTCCTTTTCTCCGGGAGAACTCCAAGGGCGTGGCACCGGAGCTTGGTCGTATTTTTCTTCAAGAAAGGCGACAAAACCTTACTGAAGAACTATCGACCAATTTCCCTCCTGAGCCATGTCTATAAGTTGTTCTCGAGAGTCATCTCGAATCGCCTTGCACGAAGACTTGACGAAGCTCAACCTGCAGAGCAGGCCGGGTTCCGACGGGTTATGGCACCATAGACCACATTCACACAGTGAGACAGGTTATACAGAAGACCAAAGAGTATAACCAGCCCCTGTGCATGGCGTTTGTGGACTATGAGAAAGCTTTTGACTCCGTCGAGACCTGGTCTGTTCTTGAAGCGTTGCAGAGGTGCCAAGTTGATTGGCGATATATCGAGGTGCTGAGATGTCTATATAACGCCGCTAATATGTCCGTCGTGCTCCAGAATGGCCAGACCGAGCCTGTCCTGCTGCGCCGTGGTGTGAGACAAGGAGATGTAATATCCCCGAAACTCTTCTCCGCTGCGCTGCAGGACGTGTTCGGAACGCTCAACTGGAAAAGACGCGGAATAAATATTAATGGCGAATACATCTCACACCTTCGATTCGCGGACGATATCGTCATCCTGGCTGAAACCCTGCAAGACCTACAGGAGATGGTGAGTAGCCTAGCTGAATCTTCCAAACGCATCGGTCTCCGGATAAACTTGGATAAAACCAAGGTCATGTTCAACGAGCTCGTTGATCCGGGACTGGTTGCTGTTAATGGAATACCTCTCGAAGTTATTCAGGAATATGTCTATCTAGGACAAACGCTCCGATTAGGCAAAACGTAGTGTGGGACGCCCTGAGACAAGATGGGATGATGACATTCGTAGGCTGGCTGGCGTGAGCTGGATGAGAGTGGCAGAAAATCGGGAGCAGTGGCGTGCATTAGAGGAGACCTATGTCCAGCAGTGGACGAGCATGGGTCGATGATGATGATGATGATGATGATGATGATACTTATAAGTCAATAAGTAAATTCATTTATATATATTTATTAATTTATTTAATTGAGGTTTTATTGTTTAATATTTTAGTATTATAATATTATTATAATTATTATTATTTACAACTTAAATGTCAGTTGTGCCATGTTGTGTTCTTTATTATAACACACTATACTCAATTCGGATCTCCCTGTCACACATTTCCACTCGCGTTAAAATTAAAATCTTCAAAATTCGCAAACCCCTATTAGGACCAAGTTTTTTGCAGACAACCCTATATCACCGTCTTCGCAATTAAACAACGCTCATATTGATATAACTTTTTTTCGATTATCTAATCGAGTGAAGGTAACTGGCATCGACATACCTGTTTATACCTGACAACCGAGTAGTTTGTCCAGGTAAATAATAGGCAACCCAACGGCTGCACATTCTATACGTTTCATACTTTAAGTCAGGGTAAAAATTTTCTTATTATCTTGATGTTGCAAAAATAAAAATAAAAAACATTTTTTTTAAATAATTAAAGTCCAGGATTTTTTAAGGCAACCCATTTTCAACATATTTTCTAACATACTAAATTTGTTATAAAATATGATTCATTCTATTATCAGCTCGGTGAAGATCGTTTTTAGTTCGGATCTTCTACTATATCTAAATTTTAAAATTAGAATTATAACGTAATACTATAAAATAATTCAATTGTTTTTCCATATAAAAAGACATGCAATCAATATTATCGAATTCAAAATATTTATCACGGAAAGTTGTGATTTCATAAATGCCACGAGGATTATCAAATGTTTTAAGAGCCAGAATTGTAACTTTGAGGGAAGAAGGCTACGAGAGAACAGCACGCAGAGTTGTCATATCCCAATCCTGTGTAGTAACCACGTTGCGAGGTACCACGGCATGGGTAATTTAGCTGATCGATCCCGCAGCGGTCGCCCAACTGTTTTGACAGCTGCTCAGAAGCGCTACATCAGGTTGCTGGTAGCCCGCGACCCATCAATAAACGCCACTAAATTAAAAGCAGAAATACGGGCCGCTTCCGGATTTGAAGTTAGTACTCAGACCATTCGGAATTGCTTACACAAGGCTGGATTACGATCACGGTGCTCTTGGCGAGCACCTTTGAATTCACGGGAACGTTACAGTGTGCTAGGCTCCGGCAAAACGAAGATGACGAAGAGGAAAACATATGGCAAAACTGCCTCTTCGTTGACGAATTGCGAATTAGACTCTGAAAGGAAAAGAATGGCCACTGGAACGGTTCAGCAAGGCGGGAAATCAGTGTCCTTTTGGGGTGGTAATAGGATTGGGGCTAGAATCCCTTATCAAGGCTTCATGACGGCAGACAGATACAAAACAGTCGCTATTGATGGAATCGTCAGACCTTTCCGAGTAATCCATGGGCACCAATTTGTACTGGTTGATGATAATGCGCCCGCACATCAAGATCAACGAGTAAATGCTGTTCTCCGAGAATACGAAATCACAAGGTTAGACCTGCCGGCTCTCCTGACTTAAACCCAATAGAGCACGCGTGGGATGCTCTTAAGCGAGCTGTTTGATACCGGCAGCTACCATCCCAGAAGCTGCTGTTGTCATGGGACACGGGATGGGAATGGGACAGGTTACCACAAGAAATGCTGGATAACTTGATCCACAGCATGCCCAGGAGGATCTCCGCATCTGTTCGAGCCAGAGGACTTATTTTGTATTAGATAAACAACAATTTATTAATAAAACGTTTTTAAGTTTATTTAAACTAAATTTTTATTACGATCAAAGTTACAATCGCCTTAGGATTGAATTATTATTTTTTTTATATTAAAAAATAAAATTAGTTTTAGTTTATAATTCCAGAAAGTGTATTTTTAAATAAAAAAAGATATAACGTAAACATTTTCTCTTGATTAGGTTAAATTTTGAAAATACATCAGCTTTTGCAAGTGATCTCAAACTTTTTTTGATGTGTGTACGTTATGTTAACTGGCAAAATTTTAACTCAGGCTATATATTTCACAGGCTAACTTCGAGCTGTCGAATCAGCTAGCAGAGTTCACGCGCAGCGGGGTGCCTTCGCTGAAGGGCTTCTGCGTTGCCAACGTGCCCGACGAAGCTTTCGCCTATCTACTTTGGGCCGAACACCCCGAAAATCTCGAGGAATTCTACGACTGGAAGAGTGAGTACTATAAACACCTATTTTATATATGTAGATACTAAGTTTAGAGCCAAACATCATAAGTTAAACAATATACAAACAAACTTGCCTAGTAAACTATTTTTGTATGTAAAGTTGCTGCGCAGGCTTCGTTCTCTGTGTTTTGTGCTCAAGATCCTAGAAAATAATTACCTAAACTTACTGCTATTGAATTTTGACAACACGCGTTGCTATTGGCGAATAATTTTTGCTTGAAACTGCGTGTGAACGCCTGCAAACGCAACGTTAATGTATACTTGCGTGAAAAAAAAGACGTTTTGTTCTGCGCCGACTCCACCTTTGTCTGACCGCGGCGGATTCGTAAGTACTTTGTGATACTTACTAAGCTTTGAACTAGGCTGCAATAGTTAATTTTTAGCTTGTCTTTTGTGACATTAAACTAAGAACCGCATTGAACCTGGCATAATGAGCGGCTGTTTGTGACACAAAAAAATAAAAAAATCTAACCTGCCTTGCTCTGACCCTAACCCCTACTTTTGCAATCGTGGTTATGTTGAAAAATCCCTGAGAGCACTTAAACCTTTTCTGTAATAACGCGGCTAAAGGAATTTTATACGTAAAATTCCAATTGCTGCAAGCCTACGCTCAATATTTAGATAACGAGGGACCTATTCTGCTGTCTACGCAAGCATACTTGCGTAGACTTGCTTTGCTTTTGTCCATATTATGTATACATGATTATTGGTTATACATCAAAAGTGGGAACAGATCAAGGTCATAGAACTGAAACTTCGACTTCGAAATTCTGAATTTGTTGTGTAGAGAATAGTTCCCCTGGCTTGAAACATATCATATGACGAGTTTGTTTGGATTTACTGGCGACACTCAAAACTTCAGTAATTTCACTTGGTCGTTAGGCTGAATATGAGTGCCAATGAAATTAGGGTATACGACTACGAAGTGTAAATGAACGAAGTCGAGTACGCCCGGTAGTTTTTGTTGCCCGACACCGTGTTCCAGCGTGTATTCCAGTGTAAATATTGCTTTGGGTGTCCGAATTTAAGTAATGTCTTTCTTGCACCCAAATACGTGCTAACGATCAAGTGTAATCGTGCTATTAGTATTTTCATGACGGTGTTTGTGCTTCACATAATAATAGTTCCATGTCATATTTAAGTACAGGCCATTCCAACAACATGATAACACCTAAACTTTGTCGCAATCAAATATTTACATTTAGTTTACCTCTTCGAAATCACACAATAATAATTTCACAAATCTTTACAAAATTCTTATAAATAAACTCGATTACAAACCTCAAACAAATCGTACCAGCCTACAAATTTAGCAGTTAAGTTCTTAAAATATCATAATTATTATTTATACCTATAAATTATACTACGTAGATAGGTACCTACCTATCTACGTAGTATAATACACTTTAGATTGAGAATTATTAAGGGGGGTGAGCTGGCAACCGTTTACTATTGTTTAGGAACAACGACATGATCCCGAACAAAGCGTTTAATTTGACTTATGAGATGCTACCTAAAAGGGTGATGTTTTATATAAAGGACGCACACGCGCGGTACTCCGTTGAGTAGGCACGCGTCCTAACCAGAAGTTGTATTTTCTCCTATTGAACGGTATTCAGGGGTGCTCAACTGCAATGGCAACAGCGTTCGCTTCCTCTCGTTGTGCTAAGTGCAAGGAAGTGGTGGGCCATGGGCCTGACTGTTGTGACCTATTGCTTGCCCTATATATTGTTGATTCCCCTTATTAAGAAATTAACAAACTAATATAAGATTGAGACGCAGTTACGCAATATTTACCTATTCATTTTACTAAGAGTTGCGTAGTGTTTTGTCTCTGACCAAAATATGGCTAAATAGGTTAACCAAACATCTAGGATAATTAAAATTTTCACACTCTTACGAAAATACTGTAGTCTCCTAATCGAGATTCCACGTTACTCAGGAACTTTAAAAGATAGCACAATGCCATGACAGAACCTTGAGGAGTTTGATTAATGACACAGAAATCTCGGCTCCTAAAGTTATCCTCAAAGTTTGAATAACCAAACGTCTTCAACAGTCACCGTATTGTTGACAAATAAGTCTGAAGCTATGCTAATAAATTAATAGGTTTTTTGTTTGAGTGGGCAAGAAAACCCTGAGAAGCAATCGATCAAATTACAGCCTACTAAAAGTTCTTTCAGAGAAGCTGTCGTTTGTAAAGTGTATTACGCCGGTAAAATTCTGATCATTGAACACAATGAAAAAGACGGGCTCCTACAAATCTTTGTGTTAAGAGAAAAGAAATCTCCATATAAGTACTTACTTTATTCATTTCAAAGGCGAAGTCCCACTGCTTTTGACTGGCATGGGACAGCTAACTTAAAAAAGGCTCCTATAAAAAAAGGAAACCGCCAGTTTCTTTGACAAAAGGTTGAAAAATCAAGTGCGAAACAAATAAAATAAAAATTTATTTATTTAAAATGTAGAAAATCAAGGAAAGTACAGGTTATTGGCAATTACTCAAATTAATATTGAGACACTTAGGAGAACAAAACATTGACTCATATTTAAATCATACAATCCAAAAATCCATCAACCCTACAATCTGGGGTCTTTTAAAAGAGGAGGAATTAAAGAAGCATTTCTGCAATCCCGGCAAGGTGAGTTGGTGTGGCAATTCATAACTGCTGCATCAGCTATCTTCGCGTCTGGACTTTACCACCACCTAATATCAGGTGGGGTAGGTAAATGACTCTTATCATTTGCCTAAATAGCTATAAAAACATGATCTCCAAAAAAATCAATTCACAAACCTAACGTTGCCTTAAGGTGACCAGTTGTGTAGTTGTGTCTTTTGGTGATGACTTACTATTTTCTGATGATCATTTTAAAAATTCCAGAAAACATGGAAAAACTCTAATGAATAACCCTCACAAATTTTATGACGGTAAGTAAGTACTAAATATGTAGCGAACATACTAACACTGTGTAATATCTCCAATTTAACGTAGATATTCTCGACGGATACGATAATTTGAGTCGGTAGTAATTTGGGACCGGGACCACTGGTCCTGACGGGGACATGGAATTAATAAATTATTTTGAGGCGGCATTCGGGACCGAAGCTAGTGGTCCCGAATGACACCTATGTTTAATGATTATTTTGAGTGGTAAGTTGGGACCATAAATATGATCTAAGTTCCAATCTTATTTTTTTATGACGAGGAAGTACAGTCAAATAAAAAACGGCTTTTATAATATAAAATATTTCTTTTATTTGAAAAAAATTTAGCCTTTAATTGAAAGTAAACCTAACTAGCTAAATATTTGTGTTTATTACTCCTAAATCTACATGATTGCATTCAAAATCATATGCTAATAAAAAATTGTACTTATACATTTTACATGAAGATTAACAACATTTGAATAAAAAAGTAGCTCGCATTCCAACAAATTAAAACATGTCACCCTATTACGTTTTAGTTACAAATAAAAATTACTTACAAACTTTTCAATTAAAACATCAGTGTTACTCGATGGTATATTTTTAAATCAATATCACAACCGTTTTTTTACTATTATTAAGTCTTTTATTTCACATAAAAATCAACTAAAATAATAATCAACATAATATTCAACCCCCACCTTTAATTATTTTGTTAAAGTATTCATATCATTCAGAATCATTATATAATTAAAAAAAATACAAGATTTATATTCATACCAATATTTTTTATAAATATTGTTGCTAATAATAAGTAATTATTCAGTATCAGTCTCATGAGGAATTGATGGACATTACTGTATTTAAAATCTTAACTTCTCTAAACCATGACCGACACTTATTTGGCCATTTATTAATTCCTGCAATGTTAGGTTGATCTTTTCTTTGGTTGCTATACTCTCTGCAGATCTTCTGGAAATATTATTCGTCTTTTTGAGTTTATTGCAGTAAAAGCTACTGTCCTTCCTAATGCCCTCCAAAAATTTAACTATAGTAAGTTTTGATTTCATATATCTTTTAACGTGGTTGTGCCATACTACAATATTGTTTGTTTTATGGTCTTCATTATAGATGCACCATATTGGAAAATAAATGTCATTTTCTAACCAGGTGCTGACAAAATAATCATCAAAAGCTGCCTTTGCCCTTCGGACATTCTTCCATTTTGTAAAACCACTCTTCCCTGAACAAATGTAACGGGAGGTAGAACAGTACTGAACATAACTTTACGTGTATTTTGCCCAACTGTTTTGCTTTTCTCCATAAACATCTACTAAAATGGAAAAAACATCCATGGATCTCCGCATCCAGCAAAATGCTCCGGATTGCCCATATAGCAGGCACTTCAAAATCCATCTTTAGTTTTAAAGGGTTCCACTGAGGTATACGACTTCTTATTAAAGAAAAATGGCGTATGTTTCGCGGGTTGTATCAGAAAAGGAAACATACAATATCTGCTCTGATGTGTTTCTTAGAGGGTGACAGGGATTGGTTGAATTAACAATTGTTCCATGCATTATTTTAATTGTAGCATTGCAGAAAACCTTCTTTCGGCACCTCCATAAATTTGATCCATTTTTATTAGTCCTCTTGAGTATGTATTCATAGTTTGACCCACTTGACATTACCATCGCCATAACATTGATGACATTGATGAGAAGTCATAATCATCACTTAACCAATCTGGATTGATTTGCTAAATAGTAACTGGGCCCTTTTTTGTTTAAAATATATGTAAAAGGCTAATCTACTTTATATAAAAAGGTATGGTTTTTACAGTTCACAATTTAATAGAATTATTTACTTTAATATACTTTTGAATAAAAACAATAGAGATGCGTAAGAGAGATAGCACTACGCATGTGCACAACATTTTAGTGTGTGCATTTCCTACCGATAACATAAACACCGTGTTATTTTTATTTTGTTTTAAATTAAACTACCTACTTTGAATAAGTTTATTTAAATAAAGAACTTAGTTCGGTTAGTTATACATTTAT